GTGTGCGCCCAGGAAAGATCTAGAAAGCCATCTTCTGTGACAGGCCACTTCTCAGTGCTTGGGATGGCGGTCACAGTGGGCCCGTCTTGCCAACCTTAGCCCCAGGGTGAAGCCAGACCCCAGTCTGTGTTCCAGCAAGACAGACAGACAGCGAGTTTGGGAGGAAGGTGACCAGGGACGCCCTGGGACCTGGGTCCAGCCAACAGGGAGCTGCGCATTTGGATGCCAAGAGTTAAAAAAGGAAAAAATCCTTTTCAGATGCGTCTCTAAGCTCCACGTTTGGCTATTGTTAAATACTAAGTGACCACGGTGCCCAACGCCATCTCCTGAGTGCTGGGACTAATGGGAGGGACCATGACAGTGGCACACAGATGGCTCTTACAGTGGAGGTGGCCGGTGTACCCACACTGCGCCCACTGCTGTCCCCTGGGAGCAGACGCCCATCACCTGGCACATACCAGCTGGTCAGTGCCTGGACACAGGTTCCCCAGAATGCGTCCCTTTCCCCTGGTGCCTTTGAAGTTGACCCCGATGGGGCTGCGGGTCCCACCTAGGCGCCCCGCCACTCTGCGCTCCCTCTGTTCCTGTGTTTCTCTAATTTGGGGACTTTGGCCTCGGGACTGAGGCCATTTGGGAGCTGCTCCTCTCCTCAGGTCCCTGTGCTGCCCACAGGTAGCATTCCGGGGTCATCTGTGCCCACCTGTCCTCCAGGGGCCTCCCGTAATGGGGAGCCCCTCTCGGGTGAGCCCTTGCGTCTCCCACGGGGTGTCACCACCCGAGGGTTAAAACTGGCTGGCGGAGCGCTGGGCACTGAGGCTGCCTGCCTGGCCACGGCCACCTCGGAGCGCAAGTGAATAAAGGTTTTTGTATTGTCGTGCACCCAAGGTCTGTCCCCGGCTGGATTCGGGTCCCCCTTCACCCTCTGGGGGCCTCGTCCCCCTGCGCCACCCGGTGGCAGGGCTCCAAGGAGTTGCCAGACTGAGAACCGGGCGGAGTCCCCGATGGGGCGCGCTGGGGTCAGGGACAGGGACAGGCCATCAACACCCACAGAAAAACAATACGTGGCTTTATTGGTGCGACCAGGAAGCCGCAGAGTCCGGCCCGCGGACCCCGCGCCCGGCCCCCAAGTGGCCGCGACCTCCCGCTCCACTAGGTGAAGAAGAAGAGCAGCTCCTCCTTCTCCTTGTCCACCACCGGGTGCTCGGGCTCCTCCTCCACCCTGGGGACCGGGGGCCGCGACCGGCACACCAGCTTGCGGCCCCGCTGCAAGGGGGAGCTCCGTGAGCGCGCCTCTGCCCGGCCGGTCCCGGGGCGCCCCTGACCCGCCTACCGGCCCTGGGCACCTGAGGCCCACTGCTCCAGCCCGCCCCGCCTGGAGCACGGGAGGCCCCGCCCACCCACATCGGCCCCGCCCACCCCGTCCCATCGCATTGGGCATCGGAGGCCCCGCCCACCCACATCTGCCCCGCCTTGGGCACGGGAGGCCCCGCCTACTCCCGTCCGCTCTGCCCACCCGTTGGTCCCGCCCACCCCGTCCTCACCCTGGGCACCAGAGGCCCCGCCCACCCATGTGCGCCCCGCCCACCCACGTCTGCCCCGCCTTGGGCACGGGAGGCCCCGCCCCTGCCCCCTGCTGGGCCAGGCGGGTGGCTGCCCTGGGAGCTCTGTGGGGTGCGCTTGCGCGGGACGGGAGGCAGGGGCTGCGGGCCAGTCTGCACCCAGGAGTGTGTGTGCAAGAAGCAGCCCCCACAGGGACCTCAGAAGGGCAGCCCGGGGAGGGGGCAGCCCCGGAGGTGACGCCTGGCTGCAGAGGCTCCGTCCCGCCTGCCTGGCGGCCACCAGCACCAACCCGCCCTCCGAGGCCCCAGCGGCCGGCACGGCCCTGGCGGGCGAGGCGCAGGCTCCCTGGGCTCGCCCCGGCCCGCCCGCCCGCCTACCTTCCTCTTGACCGCCGCCTGGGCCCGGGCCCGAGCCCGCTGCAGACGCTCCTCCTGCAGCATCCTCTGCATCATGGCCTTCTCCTCCCGGAGCCTGCGAACGGGCGACGGCAGGGCCAGCGGTGTCCGGAGGCCCCAGCTCCGCAGCGCCCCTCCGCCCGGCCTCGGGCCAGGCCACGCCCATCAGATCGCCCAGCGCCGGGTGGGCGTGGCCGGGGCGGTCAGAGCTGCACAGCGGACACCTGCCTGTGGCCCTGGAGCCACATCCGCGGGCCCGTGGGGCAGTGCTGGTTGCTGTCACCAAACCTTTGCCCGCCACCCCCTCTAAGCTGGGCGCTGGGGACCGGGAGGGGAAGTCCCCTGGCTTGTGGGAGGCAGGTGGGCGCTGAAGGAGGACCGTCTTGGGGGCCCGGCATGAGGTGGACCATGACCCGGGCAGTGCACGGGCCAGATGGCTCTGGTGGCTTCTCATCTCAGCTGGTCCCCAGGGCGCGTGTCACGCGCTCTGACCCGTCTGGCCCCGCCCACCCTGCAGCCCGGCCTGAACTGGGTCCCCAGGTGCCCAGAATCTGCGCACCCACCTGCCGCCCCCTCCAGCACCCCCCTCCCCGAAAGAGTCCAGCCAAATCCTGCCTTCCGCGTCTGTCCCTGCCTGACACCCTTCCCTGACCCCCTGTGTCCCCGAGGGCCACACCCTCCACCTTCCCCTGTTCTCGGCCAGTCCTTCCCGCAGGCAGTCCCCTGAGCCCTGGCGCTCCTCCCCGCCCGCCCTCCGGATGGCCGCAGTCCCCTGACCCCTGTCGCTGCTCTCACCTCCGGTGGCGCTCCTTCTCCTGGGCCTTCTCGATCTGCTCCACCCAGGAGGCGGGCACGCGCTCCAGGCTCTCCAGCAGCTCCTCCAGCTGGTGCTCGATGGTGGTGAGCATCTGCACGGTGCCCAGGTTCGCCTCCTGCGGGCCGCCCACGCAGCGCCTGTACACGTCCAGCACCTTGTGGTCCAGGCTCTCCAGCAGCTTGTCCTGCGGGAGGGGACGCTGCCAGGGCCTGCGGCCGCCGGGCTCCCAGTGGCCTCGCCGGGGGACCAGCGGCCACCGTGGGTGTCCAAGAAACAGGTGGCACAATTTGGAAGACTGGCCTTTCACAGCCACAGCAGCCCAATCCCCCCTGGTCCCCTTTAGGGCAGCCACGGGGGCCCACCCTGCATCTCAGCCCTTCCCCCAGCTGCCTAGGCCAGGCCCCAAAGCCTGGTGGCCCGTCAAGGGACCCCTGCGCTAAGCCCAGCTCGTCCCAGAAACAGGAACAGGAAGGCTCAGGCCAGTTCCCAGTGACACCTGCTGGGGCAGGGGGCTGCCATCCTGCTCACAGCGGCTTCCTGTGCGCCTGGCCCTGGGCCCGGTGCCCCTGGGCAGCCTTTCTAGCAACTTTGGTCCCTGGTGTCGCATCACTCTGGGAATGAGCTGAGCCCTGCAGACCCCAGTTCCTGCGGCTCAGAGCATCAGTGGCCTCTTGTCAGATTTCTCCCCTCACAGCCCAGCTGGAGGACACGCCCCCGGCCACAACCCACCCATGCCCCGGCCACGCCCCCACCCACGCCCCGGCCACGCCCTCATCCACGCCCCCGGCCACGCCCCCGTCCACAGGTGGATCCACTTAAGCAGACAGATGCGTGTGATGCGATAGGAGGGCCCTTGGGGACATAGGGAACCTAGCCTGGGGACCTGGCCAGGGGACCTGGGGGGCCTGGACCTGGGGACCTGGGGGGCCTGGACCTGGGGACCTGGGGGGTCTGGACCCTGGGGCGGCCATCTGCAGGATCATTCCCGGGTGAGGCCCAGGAGCCAGAAGGCTGAGTCTGGACCTTGCTCTGGGGACCGAGGCCACCGAGCTGCCCACCTGCTGGTCGCCCATGTATTCCCCGAAGTGGAAGACGCGGGCTTTGAGCTCCAGCTCAGAAGCCATCTCTTCTTCCTTGGCAATGGACATGGTCATGGTGGTCACCCACTGCTTCAGCTGCTGGACCTCCCTGTCCCTGCATGGGGGAGGGGACACGGCCTCTAAGCCAATCGACCCTCTGCTTCAGGACAGGGAGTCCCAAAGGCTAGAGGGAGGGATGCAGAAGGTGAGGCTCCAAAAAAACAAACAAAAAATTTTTTTTGGCGGGGGAGGTGTGCACCAGGGGTTGATCCAGAGGCGGTTACCCACTGACCCCGTCCCCAGCCCTTTTACTTTTTTTTATTTAGACACAGGGTCTGGCTGAGTGGCTTAGGGCCTTGCTTATTGCTAAGGCCGGCCTCCAACTGGTGATCCTCCTGCCTCAGCCTCCCCAGCTGCTGAGATGACAGGCCTGGGCCACTGTGCCCGGCTCCCTCAAGGTCTTTCGGGGCCTCCTGGTCGTGACCGATGAGCCCACTACCTCACTCCTCCAAGAAGCCCTTGCTGGCCCCCAGCCATCCCGCCTGGCCCCGGCCTGGGGGACACTGCAGTAGCTCATGGCTGCGTCTGCTCCTGCCCCTGCTGAGCAGCTGGCTCTCGGCAACAGCAGGAGGACACCCTGCACAGGGACCCAAGGGTGAGCTGTGGGCAGCCGGGCCTCCCTCTGCGGCCCCCAGCCCCGGGGCCCCGCCCACCGTCCCTGCAGCCAAGGGGGGAGGGGGAGGGGGACGCACATGCGCACATGCGTGCTCTTCAGGGTGAGGTTCAGCTCCTCCAGCGTCTCCTCCATCTCCTGGGTGTTCTGGATCAGAGACAGGTTCTGCTCCTCCAGGTCCGTGAAGATGTCCAGCAGCTGCTGCGGCTCCGTGAAGAACAGCACCTGTTCCTGCAAGGATGACGTCCCGGCAGGGGCCGCAGGGGACCCTGGGCCCACGGGGGGAGGGGGAGGGGGTGCAGGGCTGAGGGAGGGGAAGGCAGAGCCAAGCCACCGACCTCCTCATCGCTGTCCGAGTCCTCCGGCATGGGGTCAGAGCTGGGCCTGCCAAGAGGTGCTGGGGTCGGTCAGGGCTCAGAGGGGGACCAGCCTGGGTGGCCCCGTGGGTGGAGCATCCTGCCCACTTTATGGCCCTGCAGCCGGGGGGACACTTTCAAAATCCCATCAGCAACTCACTCTCCAGGTAGCATGAACCTCTCTCCAAGTTCACGGCTGCTTCACTGCCCTGTCCACGCCTACCTCAGGGCCTTTGCACCTGCGTCTCCCCTTTGCCATTCATTTCCTGAGGACCCCTCCCCCCAGCTCACTCTGCACCCAGAACATAGAAAGCACTAACGGAGCCCCGTAAGAAAAAGGGTATATCAAGGGACAGAAGTCGGCCGGCCAGCGGTGGCGCACGCCGGTCATCCCAGCGACTCGGGAGGCTGAGGCAGGAGGATCACAGGCAAGCTGGAGGCCAGCCTCAGCAGTAGCGAGACCCTGTCTCTCTCGAATGAGAGAAAGCGTTTCTCAGCGGCTCCTGTCCTCTGGGCCCTGCCACAGCTGCAGGGGAGTGGGCAGGTCCCCTGCAAGGCCCCCTCGTCCCCCGTCCTGACCCCCTCACCTCCCAGGGTCCGGCTGATTGGGCGGCAAGGGCTGGAGGCTGCTGCTGCTACTAGACAGGGCCTGTCCACCCCGTGGGGCCTGCAGAAGCTTCAGGGGCTTCTTCACAATGTGAGGCTCTGGGGGACAGAGGGTCACCTGAGTGCCCTGGTCTCAGGACCCGGAGCCCCTCCCGCTCGGGGTGACCGCGGACGTACCTCTGCCCAACAAAGAGGCCATCTTGCTCTTGACCCCGGGTCCTTAGGGAACAAAGAAAGAGAGCCCAGATGGCAGGGGCCGAGCCAAGCTTCCGGTGAGTGGGCAGCTGTGAGTGTCCAGGACCCACTGGGTCACCCACCCCCGCCCCACCCCCCTGCCAGCCTGTGACCGGAGGTCCCTGGTGGAGGACAGCCCCTGTTGGTTGGTTGGTTCCTTTATTTCGGTGCCGGGGACTGACCCCAGGAGAGAGCTCGCCCGTGGGACCACACCCCTGCCCCCTCTAATATTTTATTCAGAGGCAGGGTCTCACTGAGTGGCTGAGGCCGGCGGCCTCCAACTCACGGTCCTCCTGCCTCAGCCTCCCCAGCTGCCGGGAGTACAGATGTGCACGGCTGAAGGCCCCTGTTTTCCGAGTGGAGAGTCGCGACCCTCGGGTGCAGGTGTGGGGCTGGGCCACACGCGGGGGGCTCAGGGGGTGTGAGCCCAGCTGGGGACGTGAAGGTCGCAAGGAGCCAGCAGCCTGAGGCCTGAGGGCTGACAAGGGCCTGTCCCCTGGGCATAGGGCCCGGGCCGCCAGCAGAGCTCCCCCTGGGACCCACATTCTCTGTTCCACTACCTTTGTCCCCTGGTGCGGGGATCCCACCGCCCTTGGTGGGGGCCTGGGCCATGTCCTTGGCCTTCCTGAGGGCCAGCCGCCGTCTCTCCTGTCCCTCCAGCCACTCCTTGGGTGACACCTTGTACAGGAAGTCCTTGTACATCTTGTACTGCTGCAGGGTGTCCTCGAACTTGGCGATCTCGCTAGGCGGGGGAAGGGAGGTCAGTCCCCCCGGCCCTGTCCCGGTCCCTGTCCCTTCGGAGACCCTCCGGTGGGGACGCGCTGGCCCCTGTCCACCCTGGGAGCTGTTGCTCTCTACAGCGGGGACCCGAGGCGCCTGCGGGCATAGAGGGCCGGTGCGCAAGGAAAGGCCGGGCCTCCACCTCAGCCTCCCGCGGGGCTCCGAGTCACTCCCTGAAGCTGGGCCCAGGTGACCAAGGGGGACGGGCCGTCCACGGGCCAGCGCGGCCTCTGGCCTCACCTCTTGACGTGCATGATCTGGATGGTGAGCTCCCGGATCTCCGCGATCTTATCCATCTTGGCTTTGGTCTCCTTCTCAGCCCTGGGAGAGGCAGGGAGGCCAGGAGGCCGGTCACAGATTGAGGCTAAAGGAGGAGTCAGCACCCTGAGCTTAGAGTCCAGGGCCAGGGTGGCCCTAGGGACTGGCCAGGGGCCAGGGGGAGGACTCAGGGTGGTCAGGGTCCTAGCTTGGCAAGAGGGGAGGCTGGGGGTGTCCAGCTGAGGTTGGACTGGGCCTGGGTGGAGGCCCTGGGTGGAGACGTAGGAGGGAGGACGTGGGGACGGGACTCACAGTCTCATGGCCTGGACGGAGTTGGCGTCATTGTCCCTCAGAAACTCGTCAAAGAGGATCGAGTCCATCTCCAGGGACTTCTGGGCCTCCTTCAGCCGGGCCTCCTCCTTGGAGGCCAGGGCCTCCAGCCTCCTGATCTCACCCCGCTTCATCTCCACGGCGTACTGGGGACCGGCAGGGCAAGGTCACGGCGCCCACCTGGGCCCTGGCCCCAAGTTGGTCGTGGCCTCCCGGGCAAGGTGCGGGAGGGGACCCACCTGGATCAGGAACATCTTCCGCTTCTGGTCGATGTAGCTGCTCAGGGTGTCGGGCTCCATTTTCTTCTCTGGAACGACAAGGCCCCAGCCAGCGCTGGGGACAGGCGCTCAGGACCTTAGGGGCCGTGACCGCCCGCGGTGACTATTCAGACATCCAAATGTCAGGAAAAAAAAAAAAAAA